AAGAGAGGGAATGGAGGAGAAGGGATTGTGGCGTGACCCCTGGGGGGGTGATTTCTCGCTTTCTGTCTCTATGTCTCTCTCTGTCTGTCTGGCGAGCACATGTGCCCTATAGTGAAAACCTCTCCAAAAAAAAAGAAAAGAAAAGAATCTGATGTATATAGTTTTTTTAAATTATTTTATTTAACTTTATTTATTTATTTATTCATTCATTTAGAGGGAGAGGGACAGAGTGAGAGAGAGATAGAGGGAAAGTGAGAGAGAAATAGAGGGAAAGTGAGAGAGCAAGCTGCCAGGTCCAGGACCCAAACCACAGTCGGCCGTGAGGGAGTTCAGCACCCTTAACCATCACGCCACTGCCGGACCTGAGAATCTGGTGTATATGTACACCAGTGTTTCCCACCAGTAGTTTTATAGTCTGAGATCTTAGGTTTAGATCTTTGATCCATTTTGAGTTGATTTCTGTTAATGGTGGAAGATGGGGATCCAGTTTCATCTTTCTGCAAATACTGTTTTTCCAGCATCGTTTGCTAAAGAGGTTTTCCTTTTCCCACTGGATTGACTGATATTCTTTGTCAGAATTTGGTTGGGTGCTCATTTCAACAGCACATGTACTGAAATTGGAACAATACAGAGAAGATTAGTATGGTCCTTGTGCAATAATGACATGAAAATTAATGAAGCATTCCATGTTTTTTAAAAAAAATCAGTTGACTGTATGTTTTGAGGTTTATTTCTGGGTCTCTATTCTATCCCATTGGTCCATATGGCTGTTTTTGTTCCGAAAACATGCTGTTTTGATTATCACAGCTTTATAGTATATTTTGGGGTCAGGGAGTAAGATGCTGCCTATTCTACTCTTCTTGCACAGGATTGCTTTGGTAAGACAGGATCTTTTATGATTCCAGGCAAATTCTATGATTGTCTTTTCTAGATCTATGAAGGATGTCTCTCTGGGGCCAGCAGGTAGCATGATGGTTAAGGTGCTGGACACTCTCACGTGGGCAATCACAGTTTGAGTCCTGGACCTGGTGGCTTGCTTGCTCACTTTCCCTCTCTCTCTCTCTGTGTGTCTCTCTCTGGTCAAATTAAAATAAATAACGAAAAAATAACATTAAAAATTCTTTTAAAAATGTCTCTGGTAATTTGATTGGGATTGCATCAAATATGTAGATTAATTTGGATAGAATTACCATTTTGATTATATTAATTCTTCCAGTCCAGGAACAAGGGATGTCCTTCCACTTTTTTAGTGTCTTTTTCAATATCTTTTTAAAGATTTTTGTAGTTTTTCTTGTTAAGGTCTTTGACTTACTTGGTTAGGTTTATCCCTAGGTATCTTATACACTTTGTGGCTATGATAAAAGGGATTCCTTTCTTCAGTTCTATCTCAGTCAGCTTGTTGTTTATATATAGAGAGAAATGCTATAGATTTTTGGATGTCAATTTTGTATCCTGCCACTTTACTGTATTCATTAATTACTTTGAGATTTTTTTTATGAAGTTGGGTTTAAGTGTATAATTATAACATTTGCAGACAGAGACAACTTAACTTCTTCCTTTCCCTATTTCAATGCCTTTTATATTATTCCCTTCTGATAGCATTGGCTAAGATTTCCAGCATTGTATTGAAAAGGAGTGGAGAAAGTGGGCAGCTTTGTCTAGTTTTTAATGGAAAAGCTTTCAGCTTTTCCCCATTCAATATAATCCTAGCTATAGGTTTTTCAAATATGGCTTTTATTGTGCTGAAAAATGATCCTTCTATGCCAATTTTGCTAAGAGTCTTGATCATGAAAGGATGTTGTATTTTGTAGAATGTTTGCTCTGCATAGATTGAAATGATTTTTATCTTTCTTTCTGTTAATATGGTGTATTCCATTTATGGCTTTGTATATGTTGAACCACCCTTGCATCCCTGGAATAAAGCCTATCTGGTCATGATGAATACTATAAATCAAATGGACTTGACAGAGATGTGTAGAACTTTTTATATGTTGTTGGATATGATTTGCAAGTATCTTGCTGAGAATTTTTGCATCTATATTCATCAGAGATATTGGTCTACTGTAGTTTTCCTTTTGTGTCATGTTTTATATGTTTTGGGAATGAGGATGATGGAGACTTCATAAAATAAATTCGGGAGAGTTTCTTCCTTTTGGATATTTAGAAATAATTTGAGTAGAATGGGGGTTAACTCTTTAAAAGCTTTATATAATTCAGAAGCGAAGCCATCAGGACCTGGGCTTTTCTTTATTGGGAGGTTATTTATTACTGATTCAATCTCATGGTTTGTTATGGGTATACTCAGGCTTTCTATGTCCTCCTGATTCAATCTTGGTAGATTATATGCAGCCAAAAATTTGTCCATCTCTTCCATGTTCTCTTGTTTGTTAGCATATAGTCAGTCACTCATAATATCCTCTAATGATGTTTTGTATTTCTATTGTATCTGTAGTAATATGGCCTGCTTCATTATGTATTTGATTTATCTGGTTTCTTTCTTTCTTCTTTATCAGTCTAACTAATGGTGTGTCAATCTTGTTCATCTTTTCAAAGAACCAGCTTTTGCTTTCATTTATTTTCTGTATAGTTTATTTATTTTCTATTTCATTTATTTCTGCTCAAATCTTTATTATTTCTTTTCTTGTGGCATATTCGGGGTTTTGTTGTTGTTTTACCAATTTCCTGAAGCATGATGTTATTTGCCACCTTTCCATCGTTTTCTTATGTACACTAGTTGCTATAAATTTCTCTCTTATGACTGCTTTTGTGGTGTCCCATAGATTATGAAAACTTGTGTACTCGTTATCATTTGTTTCCATAAACCTTTAGATTTCAGACTTAATTTCTTTCGTAGTTGAGAAGTAATTCAGGAATAGATTGTTTAGTTGCCATGTTTGTGTATTTTTGAGGCTTTTTCCTGAAATTAATATCATATTTAATTCCATCATGGTCAGAGAAGATGCTGGATATAGTTTCTTTGGCTTTGAATCTGTAAAGGCTTGATTTGTGTCCTATCATATGGTCAGTCTTTGAAAAGGTTCCATGTGAAGGTAAGAAAAATATATATTTCATGGTCTTAGGGTAGAAAGTTCTATACATCTCTGTCAAGTCCATTTGATTTATAGTATTGTTTAGATCCTGTATCGCTCTGCTTATTTTTTTGCCTAGAAGATTTGTCTAAAGGAGATAATGGAGTGTTGAGATCCCCAACAATTATAATGTTGCAACCTATTTCTCTTTTTAGCTCTAGCAGTCTTTCCTTCACATGTTTGGGTGCTCCTGAGTTGGGTGCATAGGTATTTGTAAGTGCTATGTCTAATTTGATGAATTAGCCTTTTTCTATATAATGCCCTTCTTTGGCTCTTCTTAAAGTTTTTGTCTTTAAAGCCTATTTTATCTGAAAGCAGTATCGCAACTCCAGCCCCATTTTGATTTCTGCTTGCATGGAATACCTTTTTCTAGCCCTTCACTTTTATTCTATGTATATCTTTAGCCATGAGGTATGTTTCTTGTAGGCAATAGATAGAGAGCTTCTGTTTTTTTATCCATTCAGCTGGTCTGAGTCTCTTGATCAGAGAATTTAATCCATTAACATTCAACATTATTATTGAACTTTTTGGACATGTTCCTATCATTAAGTGAGTCATTTTCTTGGTTGTTTTTTGTTCTCTTATATTGGTCTGTCTGACTTTGCTTTTCCTAATATAGCACTCCAGAACTTTTTGAAGAGCTGGTCTGGAGTTGGTAAACTCTTTCTGGTTTTGTTTATCTGAGAATATTTTTTATCTTTTCTTCCCATACAAAGGATAATCTTGCCAGGTATAGTAATCTTGGGTGAAACTATTGTTCATTTAACACTTTGAATATATTTCCCTCATTCTTACCTTGCCCACATCGTTTCCAGTGAAAGTTCTGATGTTAACTTCATGGGATAACCTTTGTGAGTAACCTGATGTTTCTCTCTTGCCAATTTTAGTATCTTGTCTTTGTGGTTTTGGCCAATCTGGGTGTGATGTGCCTTGGAGAAGATCTTCTTGGGTTGATTCTATTTGAGGTCCTTAGTACTTTCTGGATCTAGATATTTGTGTGTGTTTTAATTATTTCATTTAACTTTAATTAATTCATTCATTTTAATTTGATGAGAGAGGGACAGAGTGAGAGAGAGAAAGTGAAAGAGTAAGCTGCCAGGTCTGGGACTCGAACCATCATCAGCCCTGTGGGAGTCCAGCACCTTTAACCACCATGCCACCTGTTGGCCCCGGGTCTGGATCTTTGAATGCCTCTCTAGGTTTGGAAAATTTTCTTCCAGGATTTTATAAAATAGATGATCAATGCCCTTATTATTTTTTCTTTCTTTTTTTTTTTCTTTTTGAGAGGTTTTTGCTATAGAGCGCATGTGCACTCCAGATAGAGAGAGACAGAAAGACAGAAAGCGAGAAATCACCCTCCCGGGGGGGTGGTCACGCCACAATCCCTTCTCCTCCATTCTCCTCTTGGGATCTTGGGCACACACACACATGCCCGGTGTGAGTTTTAAGTCACTGGGTCCGGGACGCGAACCACGGTCAACTACGTGGGAGTCCAACGACATAGCCATTATGCTAACTGCTGGTTCCCCCCTTATTATTTTTTCCACTTCCTGGGATGCCAATTATTTGGATGTTTGGGCACTTAATGATATCTAGTACTTCTTATATATTGTCCTCGTCTTTCTTGGTTATTTTCTCAGTCTTTTTGATCATTTTTTCTAGGCCAGAGGTTTTGCCTTCCACATGTGAGATTTGATCTTCTGTGTGATCTAATCTGCTTTTAATACTTTCAAGAGAGGTTTTAATTTCCTGTGTTACAGTCTTCATCTCTAATAATTCTGCTTGATTCTTTTTTATGGTATCTATTTCTTCTTTCATATTGTAAAAGTACTTCCTCATCTCCTGGAGCACATTGTTTCTTTTCTCTTGCATCTCATTTAGTTTTATCACTATAAATATTTGGAATTGTTTATCTGACATTTCCATGAGTTCCATTGTGTTGTCTGTGGATGATGAGGAGTTGATGTTTTCCCTTGAGGGAGAGATATTTTCTTGGTTGCTCATATTTCTTGTGCCTCTGCGATGGTTTCTAGTCATCTGGTGATTTATACGTTTCTTCCTAAATTCTTCAAGTTAATTCTGAGCGTTCAAAGGCATGCGGGAGGAGGTGATTGGCGATCTCTCTGCTGCTCTCCCTCCCTGATGCTCACCAGCAACCTGCACTGTTGTCTCTGGACTTGGGTGATTCAAAGTCCTCCCAGTTTCTAGAGAACAGATGTGCCTGGATCTGAACTGCAGAGCTTTAATTGAGGAAGACAAAAGGGATTGCACCAGGTGCTTCAGAAAATGCTGAAGTCTTAGAATTAAGAGGCATGTGGCAGGGGATAAGCCACAGTCTCCCTGCAGCTCAGTCTCCCTGTCTCCCTGCTGCTCAGTGCAGCCAGGCCCATCGCTGGAACAGATGTCAATGGCATGAGGAGAGGGATACAGAGAGGGGAGGGAAGGTCTTTTCAAAGTCCCAATTAACACACCTGAAAGTTCAAAGCCAAGTAGGGGAGGGGATGAGCCATGGGTCTGGAAGGCACAGCCTTCCAGCCTCAAAGGGTACACCGCATGGCAAGGCCTGTCCCTGGAACAGATATGCAATGGGAAGGTTTTGTCTTTT